GCCCACCAAAAGGTGCCGCCGAGCCCCGCCTTCCCGCCCATGTGACCGGCCCGCGCCCGCCGCCGACGCGCGCGGCCGGCGCCTGTGGCAGCGCAGAGAGCCGCGGCGGCGGCGGCGGTGACGCCGTTTTCGTCTTCTTCTTATTGTTCGTATTCTTGTTCGTCTCCGTCGTCTTCTTCCTATTCCTCTTCTTCCCATGTGTTTCCTTAGTCTTATGTGTCTTCTTCTGCTTCTTTCAACGCGCACCTTGGCGTCGCCACGCCCACGAAAGTGCTCAGGGCCATGATCCGGCAACCTGACCCCGCTCCCCCTCTCTGGCGAACTCGAGCGCCAGAGGGTGGCACGAGGAGGGTGGCCTTGTTCGAGTGTTGCTAGAAGTACCCCTGGCCCAGGGTGCCCCCCAGGATTTCCAAGGAGGCCCCTGCGGCCTCGAGGCCACCCTTCACGAGGCCCGGAGGGGCCCCAGGGGCTCCAAAGTGGAACGAAAAGCCGGGGGCACCTTGGGCCAGGGGGCACTTCTAGCAACACCCGAGGGGGGTGGCACGAGGAGGGCGACCTTTTGAGAAGGCTGTCAAACTTCCGAAAGGCGTCTTTGGGGCCCCCACGGCTTCTTCAGAGGCGTGCCTGGGCGCCTCCAGGCCAAGAGGAAACACGCCTTCTGAGACGCCCCCAGGCTCTTCTCCACTGAAGGCCCCTCGCGCCAGCCTTCAGTCGGGCCTGTCCCTCTACAGGAGGAGTATTCAAAAAGAATCCCCAAAATTAGTCTGGGACGATGTTCGGATCATTTTTGAGCATGTTTTGGGTATTGTTTGAGCATTCTCTATTTTTCGCCCAAAACCCGCCTGCAGGGGGACATGCCCGGCCTAACGGCCGCCAGCCCCCCGTGCGCACCCCCGTGGTGCGCGCCGCACCCGCCGCCTCACCCGCCGCCTCCCCGACGTCAGAGCTAAGGCCGCCGCGGCCAGGGCCGCTGCAGGCCGACGGATTGCGCCGTCCTGCCTGCGGCTCGCCGAGAGGCGCAGGCGGCGACGACGAAGGCGACCACCGCGACGACGACGACGACGAGAACGACGACGAAGATCGCGACGGCGACGGCGGCGGCGACGAAGATCGCGACGGCGACGGCGACGACGGCGACGACGACATCTCGACACGCCCCCGATGACGCAGCACGTGTGGGACAGCGCGCGCACGCCTGCGGCGGTCCCGTGGCCCGCCACGTGCGCGCGGCACACGCGTCGACGCGGGTGGGGACCGGCGGGCCGACGACGCGAGAGATGTTCCTCGAGACCCCCCTCCCTCTTCCGCCTTCCTGCATTCTCTCTCTCATTCTCTCTCGTTCTCTCTCGCTGTCTCTCGCCCCCTCTCTGGCTCTCTTCCCTCTCTTGCACCATCCCCCTGCTCCTCCTGCCACCCCCCGTCTTTGGTGAGACTGTTTCCTGAGTCCCTCCCTTCCGCCTCCGCTCCTCCATCCTCGTCCGCCCTCGCTTCTGCACCCTCGTGTCCCACCCACTGCCGTTCGTCTCATTCGCTCCGTCGGTTTGTGCTTTCTCCCGTTCCGTTGGCCTTCTCGTTCTGTGCTTTCACCCGTCCTCTCATCCGCCTCCTTTTGCCCTTCCCTCCGCCGGCCACCCTGTTCCTGCTGCAGTCCTCCTCGGCCTCCCTCCTCACCCTCCTCGCTCTTCTCCTCCCCCTCGTCCTCCCCCAATCCTCCTCCTCCTTCCGCCTCCTCCTCCTCCGTCTCCCTTCCTCCTGCGTCTGCCTCCCTCCTCCTCCCTCCCCCCTCCCCCCCGCCGCGCGCCCGCCCGCGCAGCTCTGCCCCCCCACCCCCCCCAACCCCCCCTCGCGGCGCTCCGCGCGCGCCGCCGCGCCGCCGCGGCCTGCGCGGGCCAGCCGCCGATGATGCTGTCGGAGCCGTTGGCGGCGCCCTCGTCGCCGGGCCGCGGCCTCGGCGACGACCTCGACGGCGGCGGCGGCGGCGACGACGACGATGTCGACGGCGACGACGGCGGCGACGGCGGCGACGACGACGGCGACGACGACGGCGGCGACGGCGGCGACGGCGACGACGACAATGGCGACGACGATGACGACGACGACGGCGGCGGCGGCGGCGACATCGGCGACGGCGAGGACGACGGCGAGGATGAGGACGAGGGCGAGGACGAGGGGGGGGGGACGACGAAGAAGGGGGGAGAGCACGAGGAGTAGGAGGAGGAGGAGGAGGAGGAGGAGGAGGGAGGGAGGAGTAGGGAGACTGCTCGGTTTGTTTCGCCGATCCTCCGAACGTGTGTTTTCCCAGTGTGTATCATCCTCCCTCAGCTCCGCCGACAACTCGCAGCTCTTGACAGCCGTCTGTGCGCAGGAGCAGGTGTTGCGGGGCCCCGTCGGGCCCCGCAGGAGTCGCCATTTCGATGCGGCTCGCCCCTTGCCCTTACCCACAAATTGACCCTCATCTCCTTCCTCCGCCCTTATCTTCTTAATCCCGCCACCTCCTTAA